TGTATGTATGTATGTGTGTTCGTGGATGTGTGTATATGTGTGCATGTATATGTACATACCTGTTTTTGTGTGGGAATGTGTGTATGTGTTTTGTGAATGCATTTGTGTATGTGTGTATTCTGTAAGTGTACGTGTGTTTGCTTGTAAATGCATGTTTTGTGTATGTGTTTGTGGATGCATGTTTGCATGCATGTATGTGTATGCGTGTGTCTAGGCATGCATATTTGCGCTTGTATGTATGTGTTTGTGAATGTGTGTTTGGGAATGTGAATGTGTGTATGTGTATGTAGGCATGTGTAGTTCTGCACGCACATACTTGTGTGCATGTGTTTATACTTATGTATATGCGTGTATGATGCATGTGTATGTATGTATGTATGTATGTGTGTGTATGTGTGTGTGTGTGTAATGTGTAGTGTATATATACGTCTGTGTTTTGTAATGTAAATTAACTGATGACTCAGGTTTTTTTACGGGGACTTTTTTTTTTTGGTAAATCGCTTGTCTGCACGCCGAGTGTCTGTGTCTGCTCGACGATTTGTTGAATTTGAAACTCCCGAAATTTGCTTCTGTGGGGTATTCATTTTTCATCGCATTGTGGGGCCAACTAAAGCACTTATCCTGCAGCAACTTTGCTACAGCATGTCTTTAATACACGTACTTTGAACGGTTGCTGCTGCTCTGTGCTTTTACTTTTTTCCTGGCTTTGCTAGAATCGAACATACGAGCATTCGAGTAGACACTTTCGTACCACAAATAGCCTTACCAGTATTTCTTTAATACTGCAGTGTGCTTTGTCCCTCTGTTATCTCTCATTCTTATCACATGATCAGCCAAAATTATTTTTTTTTTGGCGCACAGTACTTTTTAACAGCATTTCAGGTTCGAAACGGTAGTGAGAAGCGATGCAGCTTTCTGACGTTTAAAGTGTGTTATTTCATGCTGCGGATAGCTGAATTTGGAATCTTTAGATTGCAAATGAAAAGAAAATATTCTTGCAAAATTTCAGCCTTCGCTTGCTCAATATCATACATCAATCGCAAATTTTTAAACAAAAAAGATTTGAATTTTAAAGTAAATTTCAAATAAAAATTATAATTTTTAGAGCTGTAATTGAGGCAAAAGGAGGTTTATTTGTGCGAGAAAATTCCAGAATCTGACAATTAAGGGACAGTGCAGTACTGTGATCGTTAAATTCGTTGTCATTTTCAGTATGGCCAAAATACAGCAGCAATTGGACCAGCGCATTGTGTGTTGCCAAGGTGGATGCTGCCGAGCATTTTCAAATATTATCTGTTTTTGGATGATGAAACACCGGACAATGGACAATCCAGGTGCGCGAAACTTTAGCGCTACATATTATTTTAGTGCATTTTTTTCAACTTATTATACAGCACATTAATTTTTTCTGGTATTTTCTCAAAAAACTTCACAAGTACTCTTATTTCTAACTTTTGATCAGAATTGTGCCCATCCACAAAAGTTCGGAATTTTAATTTTTTCAAGATGAGGCAAATTATTTTGTCGAATTCATAGTCCTAGCTTTCCTCGGGAAAAAGCAATATTTTTTGCTTTTGAAAATCTGAAATGCCCGCTTTTGTCAGAGAAAAAGGCCAGGTATTTCGCTTCGATCTCGGCGATGCGAAATTCCAGTTTTCTTTTTTTGGAGGGTAAAAATCACCGTCTGTGCAGTGTTGGAGTCTGTTTTTGTGCAAAACTGAGTTACAATATCTCCATTTAACCGCATAGCTCTGGACTTCTGATACTTGAAGGAAATTGGCATTTTTATTGCCGTTTTTGTGCTTCTGCGGGGTTATTCTGTTTTGGCTAGGTGTTGGTCAAATCTCTGAGCCCTTATCTTGTCCGGCAGCTTCACCCCCCTTTGCTCCAGGATGCATCACCGA